ATTCAGTTCTCCAAGATAAACTTCAATTTTTGAAATTCTGTTTCACTGAGTCTTATAGACATTTTCTGTGCTTGCTGAATTAATAAAGTCACCAAGAGAATGAGTGAATAAAAGCAACTAAGGTGAATTACCCCTCCCAATTCCTCTGCTTCTAATTTCATCAAGGGACTTTTGTTTCTATTTGGAAGCCGGCATTTCTCTTATTCATTCAATAAGTGAATACACAGCTAGAGACTGCTGTGTTCCAGGCATGGCTAATAGATGCTAGGAATGTAAAGATAAGGAGAACATGGACTTTGCCCTCCAGGAGCTCATGGTTTAGTGGGGTAGACTGACAAATAAAGCAGAGATTACAGTACAGGAAATGCAGTTTAAGGGTAACATTGAGTACCATGGAAACACAAGTGCTGCACCTGATCAGCCTTTGGAAGAGCTCTTGGAGGTCATCAGACAGTCAAGGAAGGCTCCCTGTAGGAGGCAGCACCTGAAATGAGTTTGGAAGGATGAGTAAGAGTGAGCCAGAGGGAAAAACTGAAGGGCGTGTTCTGTGTACATGGTCTCATGTGAGCAAAAATAGGAGGGTGAAGACTGGTTCTTTCATGCCAAAATATAAGGTAAATTTTGTTCCCCAAAAATATGTCGGAATAAAGAGAGTTGCCTTATATGTAAAGTTTTGAAAATCTTTTATATTATAGGCTACTCTCTGATTTACTTTATTTTGAATGACAAAGTAAGAAAGAATAGCCCAACACTACCTCTGTCACTGATAGTTGGTATGCCTATGGAGGTCATCTTAAAAGGAAGCAAAGAAATTCAGTACAGATTTAGTTAAGTATTGGCGGGGGGTGGGAGGGATGACTTCACAATCGCAAGTCTTGAATATCATTGCCAATAAGCCTTTTAAATATCACTTGAAAATGAAATAGAATTAGTGGTTACTTTGTGGAGATCATGAGTATACAGCCACAGGATGAACGGAAAAATAAAACTGTCCTTATTTTAAGCAAATGGGTATTTGTGGCTTGAGATAAAATTTCCAGTGATAGCATCATATACAGATGAAAAAAACGTTCCCAGTTTCACAATAAAAGAGTAAAGCTATTTTCGCTTCCTTCTCCTCTTCCAAATCCCCTAAGTAATAAAAAGAACAAGAAACAGGCATGCAAGCTTCAGTGACACTGGGAGCCATGTGTAGCCCTGAATGAGGATTTATGAAGCCTGAACAGTGGTGTGGGAATGGCAAGAGCTTGGTAAGTTCAAACCTACGTTGCTGCAAGGATGAGCAGCCAAAGAACCCCTGAAAAGCTCAGAAATAAAGATATCAGGGGCCACAGGAGGCAAAGGCGATGGGAGGTCAAGGATAGGGATTTTAGGGGAAAATCCATCCATGGAGAACTTGAACCCCACTTTCTGACTCCCATTCCAGACTGATAGGGAACTAAGCCTCCTCTGCCACCGCATAAAACCAGAAGTTTATTCTCTGGAAAAACAAAACCAGAGGACCACCAGGCTCTGAGATAGCAGGCGATGGAGGGTAGGAGCGAGGACCCTATGTGAAAACAAGGGAGTACATGGAACACTTCACAGTGGCTGTGAGCAGCCTGGGGCGCCAGGTAAGGGGTTGAGGGATGCACCCCTAGAGCGCATGAATCACCCCAGAGAAAAACCTATGGATACTGCCATTTGAGAGTCTTGAATTTGGAGAAGATCCTAATGTCCCCCACTATCTATTTTTCCCTTTATCCTTTTTACTAATAGAACTTCCCCAAGTTTTGGCAAAGAACATGGATGCCTGGGTAGAGCCTGCATCTCCCAGATTTCCCTACGGTGGGCTGTGTCCACCAGCTAAATTCTTATCAGTGGTGTGAGCAGTTTCTGCCTCACTCTCTTAAATCTGCTTGTCCTTGCCTCTCCCTCGCTCTCTTCAAGAGTAAGATGTGGATGGGGTGCCCGTGAGGGAGATTCAAACATAGATCAAGATCAGGGCCATAGGAGATGGCGATCAACCAAAGATCGAGGCCTTAGGGGATGGGGGAACAACAAAATAGAAAGAATAGAAAGAGCCGCAGCATCCACTTGTCTTGTGCCACTCGTCAACATAAGGAATATTCAGAGAGAGAGAAATGAACTCCTAACTTGTCTGAGTCACTCTATTTTGGAGCCTCTTTTTTGTAGCAACTTAGTCTATAAACTAGTGTACTATATTATAAAACAAAACACCTGGCTTTTTGCTCAAATACTGTATTACAATTTTCTCCAAAATAGCATATTATCAATGTAAAATAGCATTGGATTTTGTAAATGGCTTTCTCTTTTTTCTTTTTCTTTTTAATTTTTGTGACTACATAGTAGGTGTATATATTTATGGGGTACATAAGATGTTTTGTCATAGGGGTACATAAGTCACACTATTGACATAAGGGTACGTGGTTGTGAAATAAGCATCATAGAGAATGGGGTACCCATCCCCTCAAGCATTTATCCTTTGAGTTGCAAACAATCCAATTACATTCTTTAAGTTATTTAAAAAGGTACAATTAAGTTATTGACTATAGTCACCCTAGTCTAATAGTAGGTCTTATTCATTCTTTCTATTTTTTGTACCAATTAATCATCCCCCTCTCCCCGCAAGCCCCTTGCTACCCTTCCTGGCCTCTGGTAACCATTCTTCCACTCTCTATGTCCATGAGTTCAAAGATCGTATGTATTTAAATTGACCAAAAAGCCTTCCAAAGACTTTTTCTTTTTTGCTAAGAGACAGGAGGATTGTCTTACTGGGAAAGTGGGAGACTACCTGAGATTCAGGACCACCTTATATTTGTTTATCATCTAATGTTCTGGGAACTTGAGAAAATCCTGAAGGCAGAAGTATAGGGTGTAAAACAGAGAGTAGCCCTGGCTCCCATCAAAATTTATATAATGGAGGTTCCCTAAAGTCAGGAGGGAGGTTCATATGCTGGCAGGGATGTTATGGGCCTGATAATGATTCCCAGATTTTTGATGTGAGCACCTGGATGACTTATGATACCATTTTGTGACGTAATCATAAGGTGTTACATGTTTAGGAAAGTACCTGGTGAGTTTAGTTTTAAACTTACTGAGATACCTACGGACATCCAAGTCGAGGCCCAGGCTATAGATCCAAAGCTTATATTGGCTTTTGATATAGATTGTTTTTTCTTTATTGCTAAAATTCAGCCAGTGTATATCAGGGTGTCTGTATCAGTTGGTAAAATTCTGAAATACTCTGTACTTATTGGTAAATGGTCATTTCCTTCAGACCCCCAAATGCCTCCCATGCCCCACAAACTAGCTGTTCTAACCCTTCTTGGCATACCCCCATACCACCCTACAGTCCATGACTAAAGGGTTAATACCTGGCCCACAAGTGGGCCTCCAGAACTCTGCCCAGCCCTGTGGCTGTCCTGTGTGCTCTGTTTGTTAAAGCTCTAAATATAACTTCTGCTCACAAATCATGAAGGTGGAACACATTTCCCACATAGCCATGTGCTTAGTATGTTTCACAATCTTCCATAAATCCTGTCCAAAGCTGCCCGTCCAATCTAGTTGATATCTCTCCTAAGTGCCCTCTGCTGCAGGCAGTGTTAATCACCCACTGTCCTCTGATTCCCTGCATTTTCTCACCTTCATTTCTTTGTGCTCATTACTCAAACTTTTCCCTGATTTTCAAACATTCTGTGTTTTATTCATCCTTCAAGGCCAGTCATTTTCCCTTCTACAAGTAAGCTGCCTTCATCTAGAAATAATAATTCCATCCTTGAAATAACCACCCCCTTCTCATAGAGCATATCATTCCCTATCTTATTTAATATATTAGGAACCCATTACATTATCTTAGTATTTTCTGTAAAGTCTTTCTCATAGTGGATAGATAATAAATAATTGTTGAATGAATGCAAGTATGAATCTAAATCAGGAGACTGCCTACCAGTTACCATTGGTCTATAGTTGCTAGCAATTTTACTCCTTCTTAAGACTGTCTAATCTCAGAATCCCTGAAAATCTCCCTGGCTCTGATGCCTCTACTGTCTTTTGTCCCATGCCAAAAAAAAAAAAAAAAACTAAACAACAATGACCAAAACCAAACATATGCAGGAATGTTTAGTGGTTTTCTGAACGAAAGCCTTTGGTACTTTCAGTTGTATTTTGGTCATCTCTCTTTAATGCAAAATGGCAAAAGTGATTTTCCATTTCCTGCACTGACTTAATTAATCTTCCAGAAATGCTGGAGCAGAGCTTTTTTAAGGAGTGTTGCACCGTTTGCTCTACTGCAGCAAATCAAGCTCCTATTGTAACACTGGTGGCATAGGATGAGTCATTGCTTTGGCTAGGACAAAGTGATTCCTAGTCAGATACAAGAGCAGAATACGTAATGGTACCTTAGTACCTATATTCTGTCCCAAACACTCAGTCTCTTATTACCCTTCATTGAAGTAAAGGAAAAATCAAACTTTCAATGTTTGGGTGAAGTAGCAAATAATTTGTGCTCAAGGTCATTGGCATGTAAACAGATTTTATTTTCCCTGCAAACATTGAATTGCTTTTTCTCTCTTCTTTTACATAAGATTCAAGCAAAATGTAGACTATGTTATGTATTGTGCCTAGTCTGTTTTGTCAAGAAGCAGTGTCTGCATTTGTCCTAGGCAGATACTGATGGGGAGGAGGATGGGCAGGAGTCATTGTCCACAGCCTGAACGGTACCTAAGGCTGTGATTTCGAGCGCCAACCTGCTGGCCTGAGCTCTCAGCCAGTTCTCATGACCTGCAGTGTGCCTCTCAGCCAGTCTTTGTCAGATGTGGGGGAAGAGGCACTTCCTTGAGTTGCCATTTTTCTATCCTCTGAAAGTAAAAAATGCTGAGACTAAAGCATCTCATGTCTGTCCTCTCATCTACCTTCCTTTTTCATTGATATCTTTTAATGGAGAGATTATACATCTTCACGTGGGGCCTTAGGTGGAAGGTGATGGCAAGTGAGGTTACTTGATGTGTCTGTAACTGCAGGGTTGGGAGGGATGCATGCACAGCCACAGGGCGGGCAGTTGAGCTGCTTCACACAGGGGTTCTGAGAGCAACTGTCAGAGCAGAATCCTGGGTTGGATCCCCCATTGGCTGTTTTCTCCTTACTGGAATTAGAACTATGTCCAAAGCCAACCCAATAGTACCTGCACTCACCTGAATCATACCATAGGAGCTTTTTATCCTAATATACCAAGTGCCCTACTGAGCTTCTGCATGGAGCATGCTCACTCCCATGGTGCGGTGTCCCGGAGCGGGGCTAACTTACCAGATGGAAGAATCTCATGTTTGATCGGGAAACTGTAGGCTTCAATCAGCCCAGAAGGCAAGTGTATGGAATGTAAAGGCCCTGTACTTGCCCTCTGAAATTGGGAAATGGGGGAAGAAACTGGCATCCGTTGTCACCCTAATGATATCACGGTATGGCTTTCAGCTTCCTGCCTCCATGGCAGCAGTTTTCTATGACATGAATCCCCAACACTGTTATTATTAGTAATACTTAGGTAATGATATTAGTGCTAGTACTGGTATGGCTAGTACTAAGAATCAGTACCTGGGTACTGGTATTAGGACTTAGATATTCAAAAAAGTTCAAGTACATTCATAGTTGGCTCTCTGTAAGTCATTCTGTCCTATACTTTTATAAGCTTTTTTAAATGTGAGAGAAAGAGTTGTGATATTGCTAGGACAAGGGAGTTGCAAATAATCCAAGCTTTGTGCTCTGTGATCATCCTCTGTCGTGGGACTGGGGGAGAAGCAAGGCTGAAACCCACTGTGGCACGAGACTCTTTTGCACACGATGCCTTCTCCTGCCATATATGCTAAGAGTTGGGGCCCAGGGGTAGACTGCATCTTTTGAAGCTCTGAGTCTCTCTTGCTAGATCAGTCCTACACAGTGAAGGAGTATTCTCCTGATAGTCTTTTCTTGCCCTGGCTTTATTTCTTGTGTCAGGAGTAATTGATGATATGCTAGCTACTTTTCCAGCTGCGTGATTGGCAGTGGTTGAGTGGCAGCTGATAATAACTCAGGAATCTAAAGAAAAGTCCACTTTGGCTTTCAGAGTTACATAAAGGACCTCTGCCTTCCTCTCCTGCAGTAGTTGGCAGCCTTCCAATTAATAAGACAGGAAAAACTCACCTAGAGAATCCTACTGTGAACCAGGCACGGGGGCTCACGCCTGTAAGCCCAACACTTTGAGAGGCCGAGGCAGTTGAATCACCTGAGGTCAGGAGTTTGAGACCAGCCTGGACAACAGGGTGAAGTCCCATCTCTGCTCAGAATACAAAAATTAGCTGGGCATAGTGGCGTGTGGCTGTAATCCCAGCTACTTGGAAGGCTGAGACAGGAGAATCGCATGAATCTGGGAGGCGGAGGTGCAGTGAGCCAAGATCACGCCACTGCACTCCAGCCTGGGCAACAGAGTGAGACTGTCTTAAAGGAAGAGAGAGAGAGAGAGAGAGAGAATGAATCCTATTGTAAAGGCTGGGTGTGGACTTTTCATGGGATGCGTCATACTTACAGCACTCCACAGTATTTGATCAAGATAAATAACTTGGGAGAGTGAATTCGACAAGGCTGAAGATTCTGTATGGTGTACACCCAAGGAAATGAATAAAACATCACAGCAGCACCAGAATGTGGAATGAATCTTTCCAGTGGTGGGGCTATGGGATCCCATTAGAGAATATTCAGCTTATCATTCTAGTACAGGCTCTTCTTACAGACAAACTAGGAGCATTATTTGTTTCCCACTGAAGAATCGGGAGCATTGCAAAGAATAGCTCAGTGTAATTTGTTTTTAGAGAGCTTCCTTCATTCAAATGGTTAGAAACTATTTCTCAAAATAATTTGTCCTGAGTCAGAGCTGACATTTTACTATGGAAAAATGCCCATTTGAGGGGCCTGGTGTAGCTCGTACCTGGAAGACTGTGTTTTAAAGTTTTAGTATTTAATCTGCTCACTTTTGGTAAGCTAGAACTAAAACTCAGTCAGCTAAGTATTTATTAGGTGCCTACTTTGCTTCTCCCACAGTTAGGTAGGTCATACGCATAGATTTTTTTTAATTAAAATGCAATCAAGCCTCAATACATTATTTACAGGCAATAAATTTTATCAGAATACCGGGCACCTGCCTTGGCATTTGTCTTTCAGAGATTGTAAAAGCCTCCACCTCCACAGAGACCCCTTGGAGTATTTTGGAAGAAGGAAGATGCCTCCTGAGCCTATGTATTTGCTCTTTACCCCAGAGCCTTGTACCACACCTGCCAAGTTTTGTGCCATTATTAGCAGATAGTTTGGTTTCTGGCCCACTTAGAAAAAAGGAAAATTTCTTGTCTCATGGTTCTTTGAACTGTAATTTAAAATTGTGTATGTGTCTATTACTGCCTTTGTATCTGATTTATTACAAACATTACTAGTTTATGTGTTTGTCCAGAATTGCAGGCAACCTGCAGGAGAGTTAACATTGTTTTCTCACTATCCAGAATATTGCCATATGCCAGTGAGGTCGAATATGTCCTGGGATTGGGGTAAAACAAGATAAAGAAACCTTATTCCATCTTCAAAGTGAATCTGAATTGCCCTGTAGAATATCTAAAGCTCTTTAACTTTCCTTCTCATTATGTACTTCCTAATATTCTTTTTCCTCTTTATGCTTTTCCTTCTTATATTTTGATTCTCTATATCCCACTCTTCTCCTTTCCCTTCTTTTCCTCTTCCTAACTTCTTTTCTCTTTTTTCATAATAAGTAAGAAATGCTGTATAATGGTCAAAACATACCCATTCATTAATTGTAGAAATTTCATTTTTCTCTTGTTCCATCATTGGTGTCTAATAAAACATTTCTTAATAGTAGCTAGCAATATAATAACTAATTATTTTTGCTGGACATTCTACTAGGTGCCTTATACCATATCTAATTTATTCCTTACAAGTCAATAAGCTGTGTATTATTATTACTCCTGTTTTATAAACAAGAAAGCAGAAACTTAAAAGATTATGGAAGTTGCCCAAAGTCTTGTAAACTAGAAAGAGAATTGAAACTCAGAACCAATGTCTAACTCCAGAGCTCGAATGCCTTGCAAAGAATGAGCTCTCAATCTTATAGTGTCTCCAAGACATACTTTTGAAATGCAGCAAAATGGTTAAAAGCATGGCAGTTGGAATTAGACTTGGCTTGAGTCTCAGCACTGCCAGGGATTAACTGTGTAACACTGGACAAATCATTTCACCTCTCTGAACCTCCATTTTCTCATCTATAAAACGTGGAAAATAATACCTCACAGAGTGGTTGTATTACATGTACAACTTTAAGCCTGGCACATGTCCAAATTTTAATACAGTTTACTAATATTACTATTTATGGAAAAACATAGTATTTGTTGCCCTTCCAACCAACTTCATTTAATTACAAACATATTTCAAAATAGCTCTGTCCTCAGTAACCATTGGGAATTTTTCCTTGATGAACGTGTCCAAAGATTCCTTGAATCCATTCATGTCTTCATCCTGCACAGCTGCTGGTGGTTAGGAACAAATTCTGAAATTTCCCACATGATGTATGAAGGAGCATAATACAGTCCTTCCATTTAATGGTTCCAGAGTAGTCTTCTTCCATCTGGTGCCACACAATTACTTTGGATATTGGTCTAGGAAGGGAAGCCCTGAAAAACTGCTAGAGAGGAATAGAGTATGCCTTGACCGCCTGAGTCTTCTGGTCTCAGCGCCTGGCCGGCCAAGTGTCTAGACATCGGGCTCAGAGTGGAGAGGCCTGGTTTCTTCACTTACTTGGCATCTAACCTTGTTCAGTTAGCTTAACTTCTCTGGTCTCACGTAGAAATCAAATAGTGACTTCACTGTCACTTCCAACTCCTTGAAACTGTTATTTGAAAGGTACTCAAAAACTATCGGGTGATGTGATTCAGCAGAGATGTGCCTGGTGTGTGCAGATTTTATCTCCTTTAGCCCAAGTAGGAATTGTATATTGAAAGTGAAGCATATATGGAAAAGTAAAGCATAATACTTCCTTAAAGTTATGCCCCCCAAATTATGAGTATTTAGGTTATGCTCAAAACCAAAATTCAGTGGCCACTAAGGCTCATGTGTAGTAAAGCATTCTTTTTTCCTTAATTGACAAGTGGAAGATTTTGTGAAACTCTGGTAGAGTTTTGGTACTTGAGAAGTAAAATGATCAAAGCCAAAGTTGAGACCTAAGCAGTATGAGCATCAGCTCTGGCTTTGGCAAGGTCAGAGCGCTTAGTTAATTGCTGTGGCAGCTCTCAGCCTGTTTTTGCACGCAATGCTTTCTCTTCATTTAGGCAGAGTGACTGCCACATATGCAATGGAGTGTAGATAAATAGTTGTTGATTCTTGCATCTAAATGCCTAACTTACTGGGAAATGTGGCCATTTTTCTTGATCAGTATTTCTCAAATATTTTTTTACTTGATCCAGAGCAAGAAATATGTTTTATATCAGAACATTTATATATATATAAAGTTGTGTATACATACACATATAAAACTGCAAACAGAATTATCATGAAGTAGTACCAACCTTATGTTGTATTTCACTCTATTCTCTTCCTTTCTATTCCACTTAACGTTATTAAGCAATTTTGATGATGACGCACTAAATTGATTGTGAAGTTCACTAAATGGGCTATCACCCACTATTTGAAGAATGCTGGCCTTAAGATTCCTCTTAGTCCAAAAAACTACCTCACTTCTCTGGGCTTTACATACCCTCAAGGAAAAACTCCACACACTCTTTCAGTTCGCTCCCGGGGCACACACATACCACCATCACAACCATCTCTAACACCACCAAACTCTTTGGACCCCTAAGTAGAGAGAACTCCATCAGCTGTTACCAGAGATTTTTTTTTTCCCTAGCAGCCTCCAACTTCTCACAGGAGGCCAGAATTAGGACAACTTGAATTGTGAAAAGCAGCATACTCTCCTCCTTTCTGCGGGTTCACTGGCATCGGGAACTCAAGCATTCTGTGCTGTGCCAGTGCCAGCTCAGGATTACAGT